AGAAAGACAGTAGGACCAGCAGTACAAATCAGCTTTGCTGGAGGCCCTGACCGAGGGCTCTTACTTTTTTTTTTTCTTATGCTGGAAACATGTTCTCCAGACATACTGTTCTTATTTATTTGGGGAACTATTTTGGAGGAGCTGAGATGAGGGTCTGGCTCCAAGCACGTGCTCTCAACATTTTATACCTTGCTTTTTGTGAGCGTATGGTAAATATTGTGGTAGGTATTCTTGTTGACTCTTCTCCCTAGACTCATTCATGGCCCCATGACTAACTAGTGTGTGTCTTAAGGTCAGCCAATCACCCTGTCTCCTCAGGTGCAAAATGAAGAAATAGAATACACACACTCTTATGTTCTTCTGATGATTCAATGAGAATATTGTGATAACATTTATTGAATCTGTATGCTGTGCCCTTGTCTGAGTATTTGTCTAAGTAGTTCACGTGTTCTAATGAATGTGTATTAACTTACAATCACCTGTAAAGTAGATTTCTTAATTCCTTGTTGACAGATGAGGACACTAAGGCATGGAGAGTGGTTAAAGTAATTCTTCCAAGGTCAAGTTTAGCTTCCTGCCTGTGCTCAAAACACTACATACCAGGCCTTTTCGTAGAATGCACGTGGTAAATAACAGTGTTTGCTCCTCTTTCAGGCTTCCTCTTTCAATTAATTTCTTTCTTTCTTTCTCTCAGATTTTATTTGACACACACGTACACACACAGAGCACAAGCAGGGGGAGTGGCAGACAGGGACAGAGGGAGAAGCAGACTCCCTGCTGAGCAAGGACCCTGAGATTGTGACCTCAGCTAAAGGCAGACACTTAACCAACTGAGCCACCAGGCGCCCCATTTTTTTTTTATTTTTTAATTTATTTTTATTTTTTTTTAGCTGTAAAATTATTAATTATCTTTGCAGGCAAATAGGTGTTTCAAAGCTAACCTAAGATGGGTTCACCAGTGCACACTGTCACCGCAAAACAACACAGCCCGGGAGGCTTATACAACATAAATTAATTTTCTCACCGTTCTAGAGGCTGGAAGTCTGAAATCCGGTAGCCATCGCAGCCAGGGTTTGGAGGGAGTTCTCCGCCCCATTTTTTTAAAAAGATTTTATTTATTTATTTAACAGAGAGAGAGAGTCCTCTTTCAATTTCTAATCTAAACTAGGTATGCCATGGCGAAAATACCATGGTTCGTCCCATAGGTATTTTCTAAATACTTACTGGTAGATTAATTGATCAAACGGAGTGCTAAGGGCCTCTCCAGTTCTATGTAGTCACGGATGCGTATCATACTGTGTCTGTTGAGCCTTCACCTGAAGAAAACCCTCAATGACTCTACCTGACCCCTTTAGCATTCAAGACTCCACAGCGGTCCAGCACAGCATGCCTTTTTCCGCCTCACCGCGTACCTCCACCGTTTACACAAACCTTGCTAGTGTTTAAGCTCAGTTAAGGATGGGACTTCTTTTATCACCTTTTTCTTGGTATGTCTACTACTTAGTGGGAATCTGAATAGTATCATTGGACAGGCAAATGAATGTCACTCAGCCGTCTTGAGCTGCCGCGTTATGTTGTTCATATATATGCATCTGAAAGCAGGCACTGATGGTCAGTGGCTTTGATGGTTTCCTTTGTCAACAGCCCCATCCCCCATGACCTCGTGTCCTAGCCCTGACACCAGTTAGCCTCTACTTGGTGTGTTAAACTTCACAAACAACTTTAGCATCATCGTCTGCTCTTTTACTAAAACATTCCTGCGAGGCTGCCACTAATTGGGCTTAGGTTTTTGTTGTCTTTCCTCTAATGCTGATGAATTTTCATACATTTGTCCACACTCGCATTTCACTCACCTCATTAGTAGAGTTTGCCAAGGTGCACACTGAGGAAAGAGCACCCTACTTAAATGGCATGCTAATATGAGTGGAGGTTTAAAGAATACTACTGACTAGTTTAACTTAACATTGTATGTGTAGGGGGGCCTTTTTAATACTTAAAACGTGTTTTTCTTCTAATATATGAAAGAGCAAGGAACTAAGATTTATTTAGCACCTACTGGGCCTAACACCATGGTAAGAACTTTTATTTGTTATTGCACTTGATCTTTAAAACAATCTTGGAGAGGAGTATGGCATGGTAAGAGCCATGCTTTGATGTTAGGAAGACGTAGGCGTGAGTTCTGGCCCCAACCCAGGCACTTCGTGATCTTGGGAAGTTCCTTAATGGTGCTGGCAGGCCAGGTCCAGGGACCCAGAGAAGGTCCTTCAGGACTAGCCCAGAGTGTCTTTGGCTGTGCATAGGATGGGAATCAAATGTGAGCCATCAGGAGATGAGAGCAGTGTTTATTGAAGATACAGAGAGAACAGATATAGACGGAGTATCCAGGAGACTCAGAAAGTAAAGGAGCATGAGTCTTGTGTTTGTTCAGGGTCTGGGGGTTTTTACTGAGGTCAGTGATCTGGTGTACATGCCCTCTGAAGCGTCCAGAACTTGGTTAGAACAGAGATGAGGGCCCAGGTGTCATTCCTTGGAGCTAGGGTTCCTTCGTGTCAAGATGTCTGGAATACATATGTGGTAGCTTTGACTGGTCATCCTCACCTGGTCCTTCCTTAGGTGGGATCTGTTCTAGAGAAATCATTAACTCCTTGTCCCTTACAAGGACATACACTTTATGCATCCTGAGGCATGTGTAAAGTGGGGTGGGGTGCAGGTCTTATCAAGAATAGAAGCAGGAAAAGGAGCAGAAAGCAGATTTTTATGGAATCCTTTGGTTTCCCTGTCTCATTAATCTACCTAAACTTAAGTTTTCTTATCTGTAAACAGATATATTGACATCCCATGTTTGGTATTTGAGGTGAAATTTTGTTGTCTCCTTCCCTAATGCAAGCAATAGCCAAATGGGAACCCAAGTGTTGGTTTACTAATGGTTGGGCAAGCACCTTAAAACCACTCAAATGTAGGGCTTCTTCGGTGAGATGAGCTGGCCCATGAGGCCAAGGCCTGGAAAGCTGAGTGAGGCTGCCCATTTGCACTTCCTAGAATTGGAGGCAGTAGAGAACCTGGGCCAGGCTTCTAGTTGGTACCTTACAGGGCTTTAAATGGGAGTAAGTAAGATTATGCGTATAAAGTACCCAGCATGTATACATTATACAAGCACCAATGACCACTGTCCCCTGTGAGGAGAGGCAGTTTTTCATTAAGTACATATTGTCATCAAGAGTGTTGCGTAGATGAGGAAGGGAGGGCTCAGAGACGTGAATTTTGGTCTGGTATAAAAACCACCACCAACCAGGACACGACAAACAAGCCAAAAAAGCAACTAGAATTTTACCTTGTTTTAGATTTAGAAAAAGCATTTTCTCTAAGGCTCTGTAAATGAGAGATAATAATCAGTCTTATTTCCTGGAACTCCAGAAATTACCTTAAGCTTTTATAGCAAGTGAACTCAGGACTGGACTTGAAGGATGGGGAATATGCTAATGAATGTTTACATCTAGTGCCATTAGCCATAGATACCAATTGAAAACCATCACTACCTCTTATATTTTCCATGTAGTATGGCTTCATGCAGTGACCTCAACATACCTACAGAATTCAGAGATAAGTAGTTATACTTCAGATTGGACAAGATCTTGTAGTGAAACAATTTTATAAAGTCCTTATCTCTTTATATTGATTATGAGGAAACACTCAGAGATGTTCTTTACTGACTTTGACTTTACTAGAGATCAGCAATTTGACTTTACTGGAGATGAAGGTGTTTTTGTTTAGTATGCCAGTAGTGAATATTCTTTATTTCACAGTTTTCTGATTAGCGGGGGGGGAAAAATTAATCTAGAGTAACTGAATAAACAGTGTACTTTATTTTTTAAAGGATTATTTATTTATTTATTTGAAAGAGAGCACAAGCAGGAGGGGCAGAGGGAGAGAGAATCTCAAGCAGACTCTGTGCTGAGCACAGAGCCCGACGTGGGGCTTGATCTCACCATCCTGAGATCATGACCTGAGCTGAAACCAAGAATTGGATTCTTAACTGATAATGCCATCCTGGCCCCTCAATAAACAATGTATTTTAGATTTAAATGTTTGCTCCATATTTTCCACAAATTGAAGCTTATTTTATTCTTGAATAGCATGTTCAAATTTCTGATTTCATATTTTCCTTTGAAGAGTTACATCCATCTGGATTGTCTAGGGAATATAATAGTGATGGCCCTAAATCTCAGTGGCCTGAAACAACAGGGTCGTAACTTTCACTCGTGCTACATACATCCTCATGGAATACTTGGCTTCTCTTGATCCTCATTCATAGACCCAGGCCAAGAGAATTTCCATCTCTGTGCTTCTGTGATTGCAGAAGCAGGGAGAAAAGAGCATGGCAAATTAAGCATTGCCTTTTATTACTTCTATATGAAAGTGAGACACGTCATTTTTCCTCCCAGTTCATTGTCCGCTGAAAGTCACATGTCCATGACTCACTCCAAAGATGTGACGAGCAGTGCACTCCTACCATTTGATCTAAAGGCAGCCAGCCAGAAAAATACTTGTGAAATCACTGCTGACCCCTAGAAGAGGTTTCTTATTATTCTTATTTCCTATCAAGGTCACAAAAGTAGTATGTGGCAGAGGACAGTTATGAACCTAAGTCAGCCTGGAGACTTATGTGCCTCACGTAAAATTATGCTACAGTGTAAGAGTATGTAAAGTTAGAAAATCTACCTCTAACTTAAATTCAACCTACTAAAAGGAAGTGAACCCACTAAGTACGATTTCTCCCGAAGGACAAAATAAGTTTGTTTGTTTTTGTGAAGGACTAAAAAGTCAGGCCTTGGAAGGAATGAGAGTGAGGGGACTAGATAGAGGATACATGGATAGGGTATAAAAGAGGTATTTAAAGGAATTGCCAAAAAAATATTGTCCTTTGTCACTTATAGATCCCTGCTCCGCCATTATTTTAGCATATTGATAAGAAAAGCTGTTTGTTTTTTTCCTGTCTGTAGGAGAATATCAACATTGATGAAGCCTCCAGATGCCTGGTGAAACATATACTTGCAAATGAGTGTGACCTAATGGAGTCCATCGAGCCCGACATCGTGAAGCCCCATCTCACGTCACCCAAGATTGTCAGCTGCTCCAGCTGTGCTAAATCCTAGTAGGCTTCTTTGCTGGCATCTGATGGAAATAATTTCAGTATCTCATGTCTCAATTCTTACCAATTTGAGTAAATGTCAGGATGGGGATACACACGTGGCAAGCCAAAGATCTATGCTGGTACCTTTCCTAAAAGAGAGAAAAATAGCCAATGTTCTTTTTTATGTTTCTGCCAGCATCAGCACAGTGTTTACAGGCTTGTTAAATATTTAGTCTGTTACAAAATTCTGTCTTGTAGCCAACCGCAATTCTGTAGGGCCAGCATCGGCCCTGTTACTTGTTTCTTGAAATCAGCCAAGGCCTCAGGTCTGAAAGAGAAAGGGGAGAGGAGTAGACTAGCTGTCAAGTTAAGCACTGGCATTCACTTTGCCTCTGGTGCCTTTGTCCAGATTTCAATGCATTCTCTGCTGGGCTGACAGGCCTATTAAGTAGAAACAGTTTTTTTCTCCAGAGATGACCTCCATTTTCAACAGACCGAAGAGTCATCTCCGATGTAGCCTTTTGGAGTCATGGACATAGGTTTCCTGTGCTTTTGTGACTTTTATTGTCACTCGCCCTGCCCTAAATGTCGGTTTAACTGAAAACTGTATGAACAGACCTGTCTCCATATGTGCCTTTCTGCTAGCTTTCTCTGACTCAAGCTGTGGGACTCTTCTGTTCATGTAATATATATTATATATATTTTCACAAGTGGAAAAGAAAACATTAAAAGATGCTGTTTCCCTATTTCTGAAAAGGCTGTAAGTGTCTTAGTGTTGTGATTTTTTTCTTTGACTATGTGTCCATGGCTCTCAAGACCCATTTCTAAAATTTTGCTTCAGAAAGGGGATGAGAAACATACACTTGAAGGAACTTCTGGGCACTGTTAGACTGAGATGAGTCTGTCTATTGTTCATATCAGCTTCTAGGCCAAGCATTGTATCTATATATTCTTGGTTAAGCAGAGGAATATATTCTCATATTCTCTGATCAAGAAAGGTACCACACCCATCGACATGCAAAGAAACAAATATGCATGGTACCATTTTGGTTTACACAAGGGCTATGGTGCTGATGTGCTGTGGGTAGCTACTATTTTTTTTTTAAGATTTTATTTATTTATTTGACAGAGAGATCACAAGTAGGCAGAGAGGCAGGCAGAGAGAGAGGAGGAAGCAGGCTCTCTGCTGAGCAGAGAGCCCGACACGGGACTCGATCCCAGGACCCTGAGATCATGACCCGAGCTGAAGGCAGAGGCTTTAACCCACTGAGCCGCCCAGGCACCTTAGCTACCACTTTTTTAATGGCATTGAATGGCACCATTGAGGGCCACATGGGTGGCTCAGTGGGATTAGTGTCTGACTCTTGATTTCAGCTCATATCAGGATCTCAGAGTCACAAGATGGAGCCCCACATTGGGCTCCACACTGAGCATGGGGTCTGCTTGGGATTCTCTCTTTCCCTCTGCTTCTCCTCATTCATGCCCTCTCTCTCTTTCCAAAAAAAAGGAAGCACTGACATAATACACTCACAGGAGCTTTATCTTTTGTAACAGATGTTTTTGAGTGTTCCATCCAGATATCTTGGCATTCACTGTTTCTATAAGCACCAACCGCTCAGATTCTTATTATAAGTATTTGTGACTCATTTGCTGAGGGCATTCTCTGGCCTCTGAAGCACTTGACACATGAAGCAGGTAGGTGAGAAATTCCAGGAGTGAATGTCTCCAGGAGCAGCTCTCAACCAGTGATCGTAGGAATTAGGGGTTGAGTAGCTTAGGTTCCTTGTCCCTCAAGAACAACTTTCTGAGTCATGCTTTATGAAGTCTCACAAAAGTCCCCAGTGGGGTTACACCCCTGGTTCTCACAGGGGAAACCTTCCATGTGACTCATCTTATGTGGGCTTCCTTTTCTTTTTTCTTCACTTCCTCTACTGGTCCTAACTGGGTTCACTTCCCAAATAAGCTACTTTCATTCAAGTCCTTGTATTAGGGTCTTATGGGAGCCCAAACCTAGCCTAAGTTAGCTGAGACAAAGATGGCCTAAGAAGCATATTTTCAGCACCAGCTTCTTGAACTGAATCATTCAGTACCTGAGTGGCCACAAGGACCCCATTGCTAGTAAACAATGAGGTGGAGCTAATCCCTAGTAAACAGTAACACCATAACTAGTAAGACTCATCAGGTGGATTGGGATAGAATATGGAAGGAAAGAAAGTCTATTCCTCTTGTGTTTGAAAGACAGGAGATTGTAGAGTAAGTTAACTTCCAGAAACTCTGTAGGAGGAAACCTTACAGTCTTGAGTCAGCCAACAGTCACCTCAGGATTTGGTGTAAAAGCTTTAAGACCTCCAAACAATAATCAAAATGATCTTCATTTCCTTCAGCTACAGGATAGAGAGGATATACTGAAAATCAGGCCCAAGATTTGATTCTAGGAGAAGCAGAATTTTAAAGGAGACCGACTTCACAGAGCTTGCAAGTCTCCTCCACTAAAATCAGAATTCTTGTAGGACAGGAGATAGATACTGAAATATAAAAGGAGATATTTGGGTAGATGCTCTTAGGAGTCTTGACCCGGAAGAGTCTTCTGAAACTGTGGCCCAGAAAAAAGGCCCTTACCCTTCCCTAGGGGAGAACAGCTACTTGCCACATCAACACTCCAACTTGAGGAGGATGTTTTATAAGGTGATGATATTCCTTCTCAAGTTCTGCTCCAATCTGCCCTTCTAGACAAATAACTAAGATCAAGTCTCAGTACGAGCTGAGTACAAAAGTGGCAAAGTTCTGCGTTGCAGGATGAGATGGATTATTAATCAAATGAACCACAGAGCCTGGCTAATGAGTAAGTACTGGTAGGAATCTGAAGAATGTTCCCGATTTGGTCTTGAGATGCAATCAGGGAGGACAGAATGTAGCACCAGATGATGGATAATCTATTTCTAGGAGAGCACTCTTTAACGAGTTAATTTTTAACACTCTGGCAAGTGAACTTGGAGCTGATCCCAATGTGCTACTAGAAATAGCTCTTTGAAGCTTGGAAACAATGTCGGCCTAAAATGAATGATGTGGAGATGCCAGAACTACCTTGGCAAAGTATTAGAGGAGAATTCCAAGGTCTCAGAGAGGTGGGCATATGATAATGTATTTATTTTGTGATGTCAGAGAAACTATCAGTTCATTATGTTCCTCAGGAAAGCCCAAAGACACCCCCTTCATGAAGACAGTAAGAAGTGTCCCCACCAGCATTGATGAGAAGGTCAGCGGTGGCTCTTCTCTGTGGCAGGTTTGAGACTTTAAGTATGTTGCTGTGTTTCACTGGGAATGACACCGACATGGCTAAGACTCACCATGTGGTGCTCCTCCGACCCGGCGTAGGTATATTCAGGGCTGGGTCCTGGAGAGCATCCAAGGTCGAAGTGGGAGTGAAGCTTCCTACTCTCACTTTCAATAACCAACGTAAGAAAGTGAGCTTCCTCTCACTACAAGCCCACGTTCTGCAGAGTCAGAGGTCTTGATAATTCCACCAGGGGACACGGTCAAGTTTTCGGCTGAATCTACGGCTTCAGCTGCTGCCTGATTACTTTTGGCTCCTCGTGCCCACAGGCCTGTTGTCGGAGAAGGTGGTTACTACACAGGCAGGGGTAATTCATCCTGATTACCAAGAGGATAGGATTGCTGCCATATAACAGAACGGGGAGGGGTGTGTCTGGAAATCAGGGGACTCCTGGGGGTGCCTCTTGACGCTTCCCTGCTTAGTGAGAACTGACAGGGCAAGTGACCCGATAACATCTTGATGAGGACATGTAACCAGGGCCTCACACTCTCAGGAATAAAACTATCAGTTCTTGCCCCACGCAGGGACCCTAGCCTAGGAGCAGGTAGGTCAGGGGAATGGAAGTGGTAAAGGAGGGAAAGGCTGGGTACCGAATATTGTCTCAGGATTAACTACAGCAGTGGAGATTATAGCTTGTCCTACCAAGCCTTTATTATAAGTTCTCTATGTCTGTCTCTCTCTCGGAACTATGACAGATAATTTCCTTATTAAAAAAAAAATCAGTGAAAGGACAGACTGAACTTAACATGCAGCGTAAGTGAATCTGAGATATGCAAAGCATAGCGAGGAAATGCCCACGTCTCCTCAGCACGCGGCTTCCGATGGTAATCCCCTGCAGCTCTGCCTGAGCATTCTCCAGAAGCATGGGCTGTATTTGCCATGCATGCTGGACAGACCAGAGTGCCGCAGAGTTAGCCCTGCCAGGAGCAGTCTCATGTGAGGCTGACAGAGAGGTAAGAAGTTCAGCGTCCTCCCCTCCTCAGGTGGGATAAATCTGAACCGTACTCTAGGAACGCTCAGAACCCCCGCAACCCCGCCCCGGGACCGAGGCAAAGTTTCACACAGTGGTGACCTGCTCATTATCACAACCTGCTTGCTTTCCTTTCCCGCCCTGCTTCTCTACTCCTCTGCCAGTACTTCTAAGGATCATCTCCCAATGAAGAGATTCTCATTTTTAAAAAGATTTTATTTACTTACTTATTTGAGAGAGAGAGAGTGAGAGCAAGCAGAGGGAGGGAGAAGGACAAGCAGACTCCATGCTGAGCACGGAGCCCAACACCGAGTTTGATCTCACCTCCCTGAGATCATGACCCCAGCCGAAATCAAGAGTTGGTCTCTTAACTGACTGAGCCACCAAGGCACCCCAGGGGATTTTCATTTTTGATTGATCTTCAACTGCTAATAGTTCTTAAAACATCAGGTCATCCAGACATTAATTTTCATTACCTTGGAGTCTCTGATTCACTGCTTTTCTTTCTAAACCTCCACTGAAATGTGGTGTCTAAAATATGCATGGTAAGATTAAAACTGCCCTAATCCACCACAGAAAATTGTTATTTACACAGTCTTCAAAATGAGTATCTATTGATTTATTGACTCCCTTACTCCCTCAACAAATATTTATTGAACAATGACTATACTCCCAGCATTCAGCTAGATACTCCTCTGGATATACAATACAACTAAGTTGTGGTCTCAGATCTTTTATTTTTATTTTTTCAGCAAGAGGATCCTATAACCTTAAAAATAGCGAATGCTTCACAATTTTGCATGCCATGCCTCCGCAGGTGCCATGCTAATCTTCTGTGTATCATTTAAATTTTAGTATATGTGCCGCTGAGGTGAGCACCATGGTCTCAGATCTTAAGGTAGGAATTCAAATATGTAAACAGTTTACCATGTATCAAGAGAGAAGTCAAATGTCCAAACCAAGTTATCTCTTTCGAAAAATCGGCTGTTTTTAAATATAGAGACTGCAGCTCCAATTGTGTTTGA